TGCGGGCGCTGCGGTTGCCGGGCCGCTCCTCAGGGAGGCCCGGTGGTGATGATGATGATGCTGAAGAAGCCGTGTTCGCCGGTCCACCGGGACACTGTCTGCCTCAGCTGTAGCTTACAGCGTCGGGGGGCTGATGGGACCTGTAGCTGCCCTTCAGAGCTGGTTTTTTTAGTTCGTTCACGCTGGGTGTGTGTGGGCAGTTCTGCTCTTCTGCAGTTTTTGAGTAAGGTATATCCTCTTCAGAAGTTACTGAACGTGCTTAGTTTTGTTTGGTGCCGATTTCTACATGTGTCTCTTAATAGTTGCATATGTGATAAAATATGCATGCCCTTGTACTTTGTTTTCTTTTTTGTTTGTTTGTTTTTTTGGAATGGCATAATGTAATAAGTGCTTTGCTTTACTGATTTATTTGTTGGTGTGTTGTCACAGCCTTCCAATGGATATAAAAGCAGTTGTCAGGAGATATGAAACACGAAATAAGACAGCAGGAACAGAACTGTCATCCAAATCCCGAGTTGATTGGAGACGCACTAAAAGGGAGCTCATAGTACTTGACAGCGATGATGAATCCTCGTGTAGCTCTGAGGAGGAAGAGGCTACCACATCAGAAGATGAAGCAGATGAAAAAGGTGAAACTGTTGTGAAGAGCAGCCTTTCAGATCAGGAAGAGAAAAGCCACGATGGGGAAGTGACAGAAGATGGTGAGGATGAGCATGTCATGCCTGGGAAGCGTAAAAGGTTGAACACTTCTGTCTTGTATGACAGTGATGAAAGTGAAGACAGTGATATACTTGTTAGAAAAGTTTTTGCTAAACGTCACTGTATAATGGATGAAGATGAGTGTTCTGAAGAACAGCAACCTGATAAAACCTGTTCTACAGAAAATGATTCTACTAATAAGAAACAGAAAGTGTTTGCAAAATTGAAAGAACTTGCAAGACAAAGAGCAGCTCGGAGATCCTACAGCAGTGAAAATTGTGAGGTCTGGATTTTATCTTTGAAATTCGACTGGGGAAAATACTGAATGTAGGGGAAGTCGAAGACTAATAGATAGAAATCAGTGGGGTGTTATTTATTTTGTTTTGGTTCTTATTAATGACAAATCAAATTTCTATTACATTTTAACAGTTGTTACATTAACTAGATAACAATATTGACTGCTGAAAACCTTTGTCTTGAGTTTAATTTTAATCACTGAGGATTTAAGAATTTCTTTTCATTTGCTCTTTTTAGGCATTCTGATGACTAAGCAGCTTAGAACACAGGTATCTTATCTTCTCTACATAGGCAGAAAGGAAAAACTTTATAATTCCTTTTTTTTTTTTCCTGTAAAGAAGAGACACAAGAGAGCTATCAAATGATTTTTATCAAGAAGCAAAATACCTGCTGAAGTAACGTAGAGATCTCATTAACTTAGTTCCTACAAATAGACTGGAGAGGTACATGAAGATGTCTCATTTAAAGCTGAAAGTAATTGTCATCTAGTACAGAATAATATATTTTTCCAAAACATATTATTTCTCGTTAATTGAACAAATGGAGTTATGAGAAGGTCAAAAATCTTGTACAGTATGTGGAGTATTTCATGAGTGCAAATACTGAAAATTCTTCTGTTTCACATACTTCTTAAAATTTAATTAGGATTCTAATGATGAAGCAGAAACAGAAGAGGAACAACTCTGTCGCTTGCCCCTCACACCAACAGAAGGTAGCGAAACTGACAGTGACAGCATGAAAGATTTTATAGTGGAGGAAGAGGAAGATGAAGATGATGACAACAACAGAGAGCATGTCAAGAGTGAAAAACAGACACAACAGAAGGAACTAAATACATCGAATAGCGAGTTGCTGGCATACTACGTCCCACACTGTAAGATCAAAATTGGTGACTGTTCTGCATGTATAACTTCCTTGCTGTACTGTAATAAATATTAATGGACAGTAAATACAAATACTGTGTAATAGGATATGATAGTTTAAAAGCAGATTCCTAAAAAGCTTCAATTTATTGTGGAAGTACTCTGATTTCCACAGTAAACTGTCTTATTAAAAGGAGGGTATATTTTGGGGAGAAGGAAAGAAAACCCTGTTGCACAGATTTTTTTAAGTTGGTCTGATTTAGAATGAAGTAGGCTACCTATGATGCAATCATTCCTATCGAGACCTGAAAGCATCACCCTCCGTCTTGTGAGATATACTAAGAGCAGCTGTGTTAATTTGGGCCAAATTCTCTGCTGAACAGTGATACAAAATCCTTGCCATGAGTTTGGGGTTTGGGTGCTTGGGATTTTATTTTTTAATGTATCTTTATTCCATGGTGGTAAGACTTGGGAGCAGAGATCTGTAGGGATTTCTGAATTCATTGGTTAATTTGAACCAAACTGTACAAAGCCAGAAAACTGTCCAAATTGATCTTTCATGAAAACTAGTATCTGGATGGAGCAGAGAGATTTGAAGCAGAACTTTATGCTAGTTCTCTTCTTACTTGCATTGTTGTTCGGAAGCAGGTGTGTTCTGACCAGACAGCTGGTACTAGTGTAGATAGTCACAAGCTTTTGTGGTATTTCTTCTCCACTAAAGACCTGAGCAGAATTGTGTGTGTTTAACAGAAAGTTGGAAAAAAGAAAAAACAAGTAAAATACTGCCATAATCCTGGTGTTCTCTGGTTTGTGTTATTTCCCACTGTTCAGAGAACAAATTATTCTCTCCTTTAAGAGCTTGTAGCTCTTACTGTGGGCTCTTGTTGCTGAAAGGAGGTGTGACTTTAGGATGCTAAAATTCAATAAGATCATTGGGATGAGTAGCACTATTTAAAGCCAGGCTCTTAAGGACTTGTATGTTGTATATTGACTTTTAACATTGTTTACTTGTTTGGGGTTTTTTTGGTAAATTCTGGTTATATTGCTTTCTTCCCAGTATCTCGTTGTGATCATTATATACACTTCAAAAGGATAGTAAAGGCTTTCCTCATAAATGCAATTGATGACACTTTTCTGAGCTCATTATATGGTAAGTAAATTGCATTAAATAATATAATAGTGCATTCAAAGTTATACAAAGATATTTATTCTAAGAAAAGATGTGTCTTCTGATTAGGGTATCGGACTGTGAGTCCTCAGATCTGTTCTGTTTTTACTGCTCTGTAACTTTGAAAGGGAAAAAAATCTATCTGAAAAGGATAGAGTAATCTTGGAATTACATGTAGTCTTAATTCTTTTAAGCCTAGAAGGCGTTCTGAGATGTAGGGAAGTGTTTCTGTGTTACCAATCAGTAGTAACAGTTCAAGAATGAAAGTGAAATTAATTTCTAAGTAGATATCTCAATGAAAACATTGCAAGGTCAGCTGATTTGTCAAAATGTCGAGTGCTTCATGTCTTTTCCTGAGGAATTTGATAGATAATAGTTTGAGTTAGGGAGATTACTCCATATCTGATTTTCTTTCTTTTCCTTTTTTTTAACATTTGTGCTTTCAGAAAAAACAAACAGATTTCATCTGCAGTCAGCACTTCTTGTCATGTACTTGCTGAGGAAGTGCTTTTTGGCATGTGGCCTAGTGGGGCTAGATGGCAACCTCACATGTAGTTTCAGAAGCACTGTAGAGATGGGATTAATGAGAGGACTGTCAGTGTCAGGTTGTGGCAGGAGTTAGCAAAGTGACGAAGAGAGGAAGTTTTTTGTCATCAGAAACTAAGAGAGACTGGAGAAGCTGAAGTACACCACAGACTTCAGAATAAAGGCTGTATATTCTTGGAGCTAAAAATGTCTTTCATCTACCACTGCTCTTACAGTGCTCTGTTCTTTCACCTGTTGGTTTTGTTTTGTTTTACCAAGTGAAAACAATCTTATGAAAAGTAATAAGTAAACTTTGATAGTTTTATGTTTTAATAGCTTCCTTCTATTTCAAATTGTATCTGGTCTACAAAACTAACAACTTACTGCTAAGGTGCTGGAAGTAGATCAGTTGTGTGGGTGAACTGTAGGTTGTATTCTATCTGAAGAACATTGTGTAGTATGAACATAGCCTAGCATTACAAAGATATATTTTTATAACACAGAATGGATTTTTCTAAGTTAATGGAGGTGAATCTGTTAATGAGTTTAAATCAAGAGCAGCTACTTTAGTATCAGAGTTCAGACTTGCTTTGGATTTCCCTGTGAGAGATTTGTTTATGGTCTAGCACAGCTTCTTCAAGTGTTTAGTGTAGCTGACTTGCTGAAAATGTGTTTGTGTAAAGTGTATATGGAAAAACAATTAATTGTAATTTTGGTGGCTCTAATGATAATGCCAATGAACTGTTTTTCTACAGAAAGCTAGATAGCCAGTGGTCCTTCTGGGTTCTGTTCCTTTGATAACAGCATTGCTAAAAGACTAGGGAAGGTAGCTGAATTAATTTGTATGTCTGCATGTGCTGAAGCTCAAGACAATATGAACTCACCTGCACCTGTGAAAGTCCTGTTTAATTCCTGGAGTCCAGCACGTACTTGGAAGACACTTGCAGAATAGTCATAGTTTTACTCATCCTCATGCTTATTTATTTCTTGTGCTTGAGTAAGTATTTGGACATACTTATGCTGCCTAACTCAAGGCATCTGACTGTGTAAAAGTCAGTTTCTGTATGTTCTTTATAAGTGACAGAGTTGTCAAAATTTCTGCTGTGAGGCAGAAACTGCTCAGAGCAGTTTATTTTTATGGATTGCAGCCCACTCCATTATACATTATGAACACCTTACACAAACTGGACAAAAAGCAAGACCTTTTTTTTTTATTTTCCCCTCTTTTCCACTCTTAACTGGGATCAAGTGAATGGGTCTCCATTGGGCCATTCGGGATGACAGCTTTTCACTTTAACCTTGATTGTAGAGTTTATTCATATACCTTTAGCAATACATACTTTTAAAATAATAAAATATATCAGTTTATCAAAGATGCATGGATCACTTCTAGGGCTAACAGTAGCAAAGGTATTCATTTATTAAAATTTTCATAGTTCTTAGTATCCAGAAGCATAATATCTTTGAAAATGTTATTTGAAGAAACTTATACAACGTAAGCTGGTCAGCAAATTAATAATTATTCTCTCTGAACAGATGGAACAAGACAAAAGAAATATGCACAAGATATGTTGCTCTCATTTCATTATTTGGATGACCGCTTCATTCAGCCTCGTCTTGAGAACTTAATCTCTAGAAGTCGCTGGAAAGATAGATACAAGGTATGTAGCTTCTCCTTTAAATAGTGAAGTGGGCTCCAAATCATGTTATTACTGGAGGAGTTTTTTATATAATGTAATTCTTAGTAAAGGTATAAAAATCACTATAATTATATATA